GTAATCTACAGTTAGGTGATTGTGTATGTATATGCATATACACATTCTGAATAATAAATGTAAACTTTTTTTAAAAAAATAGTATAATTATTTAGGTGGGCTCAAGGATACAGTTTTGAGTTCTTAAAATGTTTAATAATTCTTATCAATTCTTAAACATTTCATATTTCTAGCATTCTAGTATTTAAATTTTTATTTGTTCTTTTTAGTTATACATGACAGTAAAATATATTTTGACATATTATACATACATGGAGTATAACTTCCCATTTTTTTGGTTTCCAATGTGTAGTTATAGTGGTTGTATATTCATATAAGAACATAGGAAAGTTATGTCCAAATTATTCTGTGGTCTTTCCTATTCCCATCTCTCCCTTCCCTTCATTCTCATTAATCTAATCCAATGAACTTCTAGTATTTTTAAGCACCAATTATTACCTGTCATATATAAATGATCTTTATAAATAGTTGAATGTTGAGCTCTTACACATTTTTTTGTTATCTGAAGACTTATTGCTTTAAATATAAAATGTATTTCAAAAGTAAATTTGTAACAATTTATTTCATATTTTTAAAAAATTTTCACATTGCTGAAAGTTTTCATGATATTTATAATTTGTTCATTCATTTAATATATTTGGTTATATCTTATATTTTCTCAGTAAGTTAAAACATTATTTATATTCTTTTAAGTAAATATATCTCTCTTGATAGTTTCGTTAATGTTTCTGAATTTTCTAAAAGGGAAAAATTGAAGGAAAATATATAAATTTGATCACTAAAATTCCACTTTAGATCATTACCTGTAATATTTCTTCGTTCCCAAGGGATTTGGGGAAAGCATCATTTGTGCATTCGATGAATATGTAAATATATATTTTACTGTGTGTACAATCTCTTGTCATCTGTTTTATTTCTTAATCTGTGTTGTACAGGTAGTGCCATTAAGATGTTTCATATGCATCAAAAGTAGGACACCCAGAAGATGACGACAGTGTAATTTCATAGTACATCATAAACTATTCAACTTTGGCACAGTTGAAGATTACTTCAGAGTTCTGAATTAATCTGAATGACCCCAGCTTTATTGCTGTTGAGATTCTAGAAATGATAATATGTCAAGTCATTGAAAATAAACCGACAGAACCTAAACAATCTGACATGACTAATGCACAGCTTCTCTGACTTTTTCCATACTCTGTAGCCTCTATTACCAGCTGCAGTATTTTACAGAGCAATGCTTGTCTTAATGAACATGCACATCTTTCATCTTATTGAAATATATGTCTGTTATGTAAAGAACAGAAAATCCACTGTCTGTGTATTTGAGTTTTACATGCACTAAAACCTCAATGCACAGAAGAAATGTAAGTGATAAATAATTTCTTTACTCTATTATGTCTTAATTTTAAGGGATACAGATTAGTCAAATGCTGTTACATCAACCATATGTGGACAATGCAACTCTGAATTTATCACAAGTTTTCCAAAGCCATTAAATATTAATGAAATTTGTGAGAATGCTCTGAGATGACAATTTTCAAAAAGAACTGCTTAGATAACTTATAATTTATATTGACAGAGTACTACAAACGATAGCTATCTTCACATTTATTGTTAATGGCCTCATAAAGTGCTCTTTTTTAAAGCATAAAATTCATATCATGGCATAGTGTCTTCAAGGGGGTTATTTCATCTCTAGTCTGCATTACTTGGTACCCTTCAAAGTTTAAAGTGCTTTTTCTCACAATAGAGGGTTTCAGTTCTGGCTAGACTTTCCATACTCGCTAACCATTACCCAGTAGACATGACTCTAGGCTTTATTATTTTTCTCGATATACAATTTATTTATTTTTGCTTCTATACTTTTCAAATGAAAAGCTACCTTATGAAATCTAATACGCAACTTGAAGCTGCTCTCACTGAATATATTGGAAGGTATCTGAAGAAATACCCTATGCTCTTTATATCCTCCTATTTTCCTAAAGATATCATCCAACACCTGCCCTGCACTCCTCAGGGAGGTATCCTCACCAACCCAACATGCTGTTGCTCTCAATTTTTAGCCCTTTACTTTGTAATGTTTAACAATACATTTCCTAACTAAATATCCTAATAGAGGGAGATTTATAGTACTCATTCAACTTAAACCTCCATTTCTCTATTTTTTCAGCAAAAAATTTAAGCCTCTAACACTGATGGACCATGAGATTGGACTGTGACTAATCATACTGTCAGTTTAAGGCTTTTATTGATTCTTCTGATTTTTATCCCAATCACACAGTGAGAATCAAATGTTGTAGACTCACTTCCTAATAAATCATATTTCCATTTAATAGACATTAAAAATTTAAAAAGGAAGTGAAAAATATCTCATATATTCTATGCTCGGTTCCTTTTCTCTGAAATTTCTCTCTGAGAAGTTGAGTAAAACTTGAGTGACTATGCCCCATGCCTTACTGCCACACTAAAAATAAATTCAAGCATCTTCATGCTTGCTCAAAACTCAGGAGTCCCTCAATTCTGTACTTATTGAGAAATATTTGTGATCTGAAGAATGTAGGTGGCAATGGTCACATTAATTTCTACTAGGTACTTGTCACTATTTGATAAAAGACAGATTGCCCTTGAATGTCCCACTTCCCACTTTATCCTTCTTGGAGACAATTGGGAAACATTTAATCCTTTCATTTTTGATTTTTTTTATTTGATCTGATGGCCTAGGTTTCAAACCCTGCTTAAAATTTAGTGAACATTGAACATCTGGCAGCAACTGTGTTGTTTGGCAAATAAAACCTAATGAAAACATACTAGTTTATGAGAAATGGCTACTTTGATCAATTACTATGACTTTCATTAAATAGGATTCCTTCATAAAGTCTATATTAATGCTCCAACATCATCACTAGAAAGTTTTATTATCTTTTGTTTGTATTGTACATTTACTTATTTAAACTGTATAGTGTATTCTTTTAGAAAGTCATCTTACATGTATAATACTAAACAATTAATTACTTATACACAATTATTTTAGGTCACTATAAACTATACCTTCTAGCAGGACACAGTGGCTCATGCCTGTAATCCCAGCAGCTCAGGAGACTGAGGCAGGATCATTGCAAGTTCAAAGTCAGCCTCAGCAAAAGCAAGGCGCTGATCAACTTGGTGAGACCTTGTCTCTAAATAAAATACAAAATAGGGCTGAGGATGTGGCTAAGTGGTTGAGTGCCCTGAATTCAATATCTGGTACCAACCCCAAATATATATATATATATATATATATATATATATATATATATATATATATATATATATATATATATATACCTTTTTTCTTGTGCATCAAATAAACAAGGTATAGGTGGATATTTAGCCCTCTTAAGACGGAATGTGTGTTCTATTGAGGTGATGGTCTTTCGATGTCAGTTAAAATAAGGCAGATTTCAACATAATGTACAAGAAAAAAAAGTGGGAAATATTTGGGAGGTAGAGGGTAGCTGGCAAGATTTAACTGTTACCAGGGCTGATGAGATTACCAAGTTTGGCAACTGATTGTGAAATAATTATATATTCTATAAAAATAATTGGTAATGAAAAATGAAGTGACTTAATTTACAAACAGGTATGATTAATAATTTTTCATGCCATCTTGAAGCAAATAATTATAATTTTTAAAAGTAATTTGTTGAGTGAACTTCACCATGCAAGAAAAGTCTTGAGTGCCTTTATAACTCAATATCCACATATGTACTAGAATTCTAAAAGAACTTAATCACTGCACTTGGTTTGTCCATGGGAAAGTGACATTCAAAATTTATTTATAGAATTTGAAACTGGAATTCCAGTATCAAAATTAAAACATTGAACTTCTTCATTCACTTTAGCATCTGCATTTTTAATTTCCTCCTTTTCTTTTCCTTTTTTTAAACTTTGATTTGAATGTTATTGTTTAACCCATTAATATTCACTTTGATGAGATGTTCAAAAAATAGTATGTCCTACTTATTTTCTTCATCTCACACTTTAAATTTTTGACAAGGTTTTAAATTACCTCTACTATTTTTCATAGTCTTGGAATATTTTCCACAGATAAGTATTCTTTTTTTTTTTAATTTTTTCTGATCCAGTGCTTATTTCATGTAACGTAAGTATTCCATTTGGTGGTAAAAATGATCATTTTAACTTTTTCTCCTTTAATGAGAAAAAGAAAAAAAAATGGGGAGTTCAAACTTTATGTACTCAGTTTAAATATTAGAAAATATGCCGAGTTAATATGTATTAAAATGAGCTGACGCCTGGCATGTGCGCATGGCTCTGGGTTCGATGCACCACATATGAATAAAGATGTGTCAGCTGAAAACTAAAAAAATAAATATTAAAAAAAATTATCTCTCTCTCTCTCTATTTCTCTCTCTCTCTCTCCCTCTTTAAAAAATGAGCTCAGTCTTTGTCTCCAATATGCTTTATTTAAATTCATCGAGGTAGAATTTTGTATTAGTGTACAGCTTATCATTTCAGTTCATTGTAAGATACATTCAGTCATTGTAATGATTACTTTCTGGATACATAACCTTCACATTCATAAATAACTATCCATCTATCTTTTATCTATTTATCATCTATTTATTAATTATATATATCTTTTCGTTGTGTTTTAGATTCTATTTTATTGGTATTGATTACTTTGGTAACAATTATGAAGACTTTTACCCTCACATATAAGGTATACTTTGATATCAATCATATTAAAATATTTCCATATAGTAATTTTAATATAGCACACTCTATTATTTATAATACCCATTTAAAAATCAAAAGCAGGTCTACTGAAGTGAAAATGAAGTTATTACATATAATCATAATCCTTAACAGCAAATTGCCTTTGCATTTTGCTCTATAATGTTCCGAATTTGATTTACTTTGTGCAGTCTACATTTTTCAAACCTGATAATCTTTCTTTACTAGTTCACTGTCAATGCAAATTACATATATTTTATCAGGCATCTTCCATCTGAAAGTTCCTGAATCTTCTCCTGTTGGCTCAGCTATTGGAAGAATAAGAGCTGTGGATCCTGATTTTGGACAAAATGCGGAAATTGAGTACAATATTGTTCCCGGAGATGGAGGGAATTTGTTTGACATCGTCACAGATGAGGATACACAAGAAGGAGTTATCAAACTGAAAAAGGTACATAAACAAAGGTTTTGACAGTTTACTATCTAATAATAATTAAAGAAAATGAAAGGGTATAAGCAATTTTGATTTTCCTTTAATTAGTAATATTTTAAATAAAACATTAAATGTTATAATTATGAAATATTCACTCCCACAGATAGTGTTATTCTATGATTTAACAAATATGGATTTATATTGAATAATGAAGCCTAATAGTTTGATTATGTACTTTTTTAACACTCTTATCAGAGTTTAATTTCTAATTAATTTTATAGAAATAAATGTACACAAATGATCAATTTAAAAATGACAAACAGTCAATAACTCTTATCCTACCAAAGTTGATCTTGACATTTCATGACTTTTTGGAGAAGACAGAGCATAAATATCTAAGTTAGCACATTATTGGTGAGAGTTGATATCACAGTGGCGAAATACTATTGTGGGTAAGTTTTATTCAGTGCAGAAGTGGAAGAAATAAGAAAGGATAATAATGGACTTGAGAATTCTGTCAGAAAAAAGCCTACAGAGACTTTTACTTTTATCAGTTAGGAAGTAAGGCTAGAAATATCCCAGTGAAGAGACCATTGAAATAATCCAAGAAAGAGATTTAGATGCTAATAGTAATGGAGATTGAGAGAATTGTGATTCTGGCCAAACTTTAGAGAAAGAGAAAGAAAGGGAGAGTGGAAGGGGCAGCAGAGGAGGACAGCAAAGTTAGTCGGACCCTTGAAACAAGTCATTACTTGCCCAATATGTAGTTTTGTCTTTTATTGGGTAGTGGCATATGAAGGAGTGTGTAAATGTGAGAAAGAAACCTGATTCCACTGTACGCATGTAGATTGCTTCAATTATAATGAAGAAAACTATGAATTTTGAGTAGTGAAATGTAGCAAAAAAGTGAACCTCATTAAATTTAGGTTTTCTTTCCCCCTCTCCTTGTACAATGTATACTCTCTTAAACTCAAACTGCAGTACATGTCACGTCTGTTACTATTTATGATCATTTCAACCCAGAAGAAATATTTTTGAAGTCAGTGCTATTAATCAGTCTTTTCTTTTCATATTTGTTAGGAGCTCTGAATTTTAATAAGAAACACTATGAATTGTAATGAAAATCATCTTAAAAGTAAATATAAGCTTCATATATATAGTCATTTTGTTTTTATTCCCACAAATGTACATAAATTGTACTTAGTCCAGAAGTTAGTTAACACACGATACCATCTAAAAGTATGCATGAATGCTGAATTTGAGAAATACACAAAGAAAAAATGTGTATGATTCTTGTTTATTTCTCTATTGTTATTTAGTATTTCTCTTTTCTACTCAGTAACATATCAGTGAATATTCTTATTAATTTTTTTGTAAAAGTAATAATATTTAAATATTTTTCAAAATCAATCCAAATGAAATTACTGTAACAAATATTAATATGCTAATAATACTAAAAATGGTAGAAAATAATTTATTTACTCATATCTTAAAATTTAACCATTAAATTAAGTAGATTTACAAAGTTAATCTGAGGGACAGAATTAATACTAAATTATGCATATCTAAATTTAAATATTCCTTCATCTTGCTATTGTAAAAGTATTTTATATTCATCAATGTAGTTTTCTATATTTTATATTTACTTTTGTAGACACCTATTTTTCATCCATGACTGTAACTGATGTTTACATGTCAATCAGAAAATCTTTATTTTTAAATATATTTGGAAAGAAATAGTGTTACATTTCTTTATTATTTTATGATGTCAAAAATATAATGTTTGAAGGAAGTGTTGCAGTTATAAATTATAAAAAACTTAACTATTACTTAATCAGTAAGAATGCATTTTCAGTCCAAGGAAAGATTCATAGTGAGTAGGTGCTACATCATTTTTTGTTTGAATTTTTGAAATTTTTTTTTCATTTTTTTATTGGATTGACTTTGAGATTTACAAAACTATGGAAATGCCTTATTAAAATTGAATTACATAATGCAGATAATCAATCTGGAAAATGTATCTCTAAATAAGACAAAACAGTGTTTCCTCCTGAGGTAAATTAATCATTCATCTTACTGGCATAAAACTCCTTGTCCAAATAAATCTGTGACTATACCTTTCCCTTCATCATTCAAGGGATATTTACGGTGTAGCCACAGTGTCCCAGATCCATTTTGGACTCAAAGATAGACACATTCCCTGTTCTCCAGCTCCATCCATTCAATTGGGAAAATCGGAAAATTAACACATGAAATATCACTATCAGCAATGATAGATTCAAGCTGATAGACATAAATCAAGGTAAAGAGATAACAGGAATGTGAAAGGCAGTCTTATAGTAAAGGTCAAGAAGACTTTTGGGCTATGGTGAAATATAAGCCTATTTCTGAATAAAGACAGATGAACAACAACTGTGTACATTACATGTGTTCAGAAAAACTAAGCAACAATTGCAAAATCTCCCTCTGAGGAGGGAGTGCTGGACAAAGAGACTGGAAAGGTCAGTGAATAAAAGGAATGTTGATTGGAGACAAGGTCATCAATGTCCCATGATGGAGGTCTTGTAGGTCAGGTCAAGGACTCTGAGCTTGGTAATGATAAGGGGAGTTATACACAAATCACCTCTGTTCTAATAGAGTCAGTTTACTCTGTATGCTTTGAGGAAAATCAGACTTAGGAAGTAAGGCTGAAAAAAGCCCAGTGAAAAGATCATTGAAATTAATCCAAGAAACAGATTGAGATGCTCATAGAAGTAAAGACTGCCAGAATTGGTGATTCTGGCTAAATTTTAAAGAAACAGTCAAAACATATTGTTATAACTATCATCACCTAGAAAATTACACCAAGCAATTCAGTACTTACAAAGCCTGACAGAATACTTGGAGTCACATTCAATGTTATAACTTGCTGTGATCTCTAAATAAGGATCCACCAGGGGCAATCACTACCTAGTAACCTATTCTGCTGTACAAAAACACTACAATCTATAGACTACATCTCTTAAATCTAAGAAGTAAGTTTTGCAACACAATTTTTGAATTATCTAACATCTATCTATGTGTTGGATTGTATGAAATATGCTTATGTACACATACATACACACATATATATCTTTATCAAAAATGGTGTATGATTTTATGAAAAAGGAATAATGGAAAAATATTCAGCTGAATAAAGTGCATGGAAAACTCAAAATAAATTAAAATGACAACTGTATTTAAAATACAGAATCCTTTTGGGTAAAGCTCATGTAATAAGACTATTCAAGCATTACATGCAGTAGGTTCTCAGAAAACTTTATCTTGCACTTATTATTGGTCTTTGAAGAATGAAGTGAGCAAAAATAATATGAATGTAAACATCAACAGTAGTATTTTAATTTTCCATATGATCTTAAAATTATTTTTTGAAAGTTTCCCCTTTTGTATCTCAGCCTAGAATTGCAATGCAAGAATTATGAATTCCTACTTAAATCATATTTTTAAGTATACTAAATACATTTAGGAAATCCATAAATATATATCCTACATATGAATACATAGCTGTATTTTAAAGATGAGTTATTTTAAATTTTTGGCTGACAAACTTTTAAGCAGCAGTAGAGGAATGAAATGATATATTCTTCAATTTAACAGAGCTTCTCTTTTTTTAACCCACTTAAAATACATTCAAATGCTCAATGTTCTGAAGCACATATTTTCAATGTTGTTTTATCTTCAAAATCTTTTATTTAGTTTTATTTTACTGTATACTTCTCTCCTTTTCCTCTGTAGGGTGAGGATATATAAAAATGAAACTCGGGTTTACATAAGCTGAGGAGAATGAAGAAAGGTGTCATTTCACTGTATCACATTGCATTCAGAGTAAAATTAGGAAAGTTTGTAAATCTCTCCAAAGCACACAATACTGGTAAAACCCCAAACCAACTCTTACTCTACTCTTGCATATTACACTGAACAAAGTATACAGAAATTAAAATTCTCTTATGTGTTTTTGAATAATATAGCAATACCAACACTAGAAAAACTAGAATAATGCTTCTCAAATTTTCAATCACATCTTAAATCTAGGAGCTGGGATATATTTGCAATGAGAAAATCAGCTGTTTTAAATTCAACAAAGTTCTTATATTAAAAAGACAAATAAACTATATCTTAGTAATTACTCCCTATGAGAAAAATAAAAATAAAATATATACTCCTTGAATATAAAAATGAATAGGAATTTACATCAGTTAAAAAAAATCTCTCAACACTAAATGGATAAATATATTGAGAAACACTTTGGTTTGCTTGTTGCTGAATGAAAACTTAGGTAATTAAAACAGTAGAGTGAATACTTCAGTTATACAATGAACAGTTTAATATCCTGCATAATTTCAGAAAGAGTCCTGTACCATCTCTATAAAACTGTCCATTAAGAACTACAAAGTAGTGGTGTCATCTGTTTAAAATGAAGAATGATGAAGTGGTGGCCTATTTATTACAAAATAAGTAAAACATTTTTTGAAATTAAAAAGTTTAACCAGTTTGATGTTATCTTAGCATATTTTTTCATTTTGAATTTACATAACTAAAGATCACATTAAATCTAAAGTAGAAGGATTTTTAAATAGGAGATGAAAGATTTGACTTTTCAACAGAACCCTTTCATAAATAAGCTGTGGCCTCAATTGGTTCCATTGGGCATCTATATTTTATATTTACTCATGAATCAGTAAAACTCATTATTTTTACCATTTTATATGACTGAGAAGTATTTCCACACTATATGACTTGGTAACAGCACCATCATGTGGTAAATTTTAGAATAACTCTCAGGAATAAAATGAAAATAAATTTTAGACGAATGTATATGCTCAAAAAATAATAAATAAGTTTTAAAAATTCTATTTTTAGTAACTCTGACATTCCTAATTTCAGAGAAAGGGGTACTCCTTATGTTGTTTCTACAAATATTATGTTCCTGTTTTTTCCAAATATTTGTCTTTCTCTTCTGTTTTTTTTTTTAATTTCTA